TCATCCACAGAAGTGCCAGAATGGCACCCAGAGCCATCCTCCTGGGCTTTAGGAATGATCTGACACAATCCTGGCTCTAAGCCAATGCACTAAGGTCCACATGAGGAGTAGCTTTACAGTCCCTGGTGAATGTCTACACAAAGTGTTTGAACCGGAGGAAAAGGCACATTCCTCGCTTGGTTGGTGGTTCAGGGGCAGACATCATGTGGTCATAGCAGTGGCTGCCACGCGTGGAATGTCTCCACCACGAGCCCAGCACGCCCTCATCTCACCCTCACAGCACCCAGAAGGGAGGGCACAACTTCCCCACCCGACAGACAGGACCCGGGTGTGCCAAGTGCTCAAGCACCCCTCTCAGTTTGTTCTCAACAACAGCCCTGAGGTCCTTTGTATTATTATTCATATTTTCGTGGATAAAATAACCTTCTCAAAGTGACACAGCTGACTGGAAGCAGGAATCCTGGTCCATTTGTCCTCACAGGACAGGTGACAAGCTCCCACAGGCAGCAGCCTAACCTCGGCCATACAGGTGATCCCCCAGGCAGAGTCAGGGGGATGGGATATCCCGAGGTTATTCAATGGGATGTTCAATAACGAGGCCTCACCCTAAGCCGGAAGGAAGGAGTTTTAGCCCTCCTGTTAATTGAAGAGAAAACCTTGATCCCCCAGGCAGAGTCAGGGGGATGGGATATCCCGAGGTTATTCAATGGGATGTTCAATAACAAGGCCTCACCCTAAGCCGGAAGGAAGGAGTTTTAGCCCTCCTGTTAATTGAAGAGAAAACCTATTGAATCACTCCCATTTCCTATAATGACAAAAGGCTCAAAGGTTTGCTCTTAGTTCTCAGAGCTTCTATTATTTTCCAGTGTCAAATCAAGTGCCATATTGACCTGAGGAGGCATAATTTTCATTTTAGAGAGTGTTTTTGCTTAATTTTCCTTACATGATTTTTTTTTTCTTTTTTGGAATAGGCAGGGAGTCAGGCACGGAGGCTGGCCAAGGAGGAAGTTTTCAAACCTCTTTAGTGCAAGTCCTATTGAAAAAGAGAGCCTGAGGCTGGCCCTGAACAGGCCCTTGAAGTACCCTCTTGCTTCCCTAGCCTGAAGAGACCTTTAGAGCCATCAGAGAAGGGTTTTCACGGCCAGTCTGCTACTGAGTGACACTCAGGGTGGGTCGTGGGGGATTTTCAAGGCTCCTCCAGACTTCCCAAAACACAAGAACAAAAACAGAAAAATCCAGTAACTTGTTCTTCCTCACTGCACGTTTCCATCCTACCACGTTCTCCTTTCAGTTCATTACCCCCTTGCCTTCCTCCTCTCCCACGGGAAGGGCATCCTCATACCTGCTGGGCTTCTGCCACCATCAAAACCCCTCTTAGGAATCCCTGGCAGAGGCCACTGACCTCTGGCCACAGTGGCCTTTGCTTAGAGGCCCTCAGGAAGTCCTGCTGGGCGAGGCAGGATGTGATTAGCAGCTTCACGATCCCTGGAGGAGCACCAGCTTGGTGGCTGGGACTGATTTAGATGAGGCACAAATGCCACTTCTCAGCCTAAGCAACATTTTTTTGTTTGTACAGTTGTTTCTTAGTATCCGTGGGGGATGCTCAAGTCCCTGATATAAAGTGGTGCAGTATTTGCATATAACCTATGCACATCCTCCTGTATAATTTTTTTTTTTTCCTTTTTGTCTTTTTTCGTGCCCGGCAATGGATTGCAACCCTCAGTGTCGTGCCCGTACCGGACCGGGACCGGCCACGGGATCGCAACCCTCGGTG